TCATCAACCCCCACCTCGCCAAAGTTATCAGGACCGTGGCATATAAGTTATCAGGTCCACATGTGTGGGTTACCATGCTATTCGCATAAAAGTTACCAAGGGATATTTCATTAACCACCTCTGCCCTCCCCCCACCGGTGGCAAAGTTACCAGGACCAGGGTACATAAGTTATCAGGTTTGCAATGAGTGAGTTACCATGCTATTAGGCTTTGCTAACTTTCGATCGTTCCGCCTTTAGTAAACAGATACGAACGACATGCAGTCAAACAATGCGTATATTACCATGTTATTTACACAGAAATTATCGGGGATGTTATCAACAATTTTTCATTGGATCAAAATTACGACGGTGTTTTTACAAAACTTATCAGGTATATAATGTATAAATTAGCATGTTATATGCACAAAGGTTACTGGAAAGTGTGTTTTCAGGTCTGCGATGTGTAAGTTAGCGTGTTATTTACACATAAATTCCTTGGATTAAAGTTACCACGACGTCTGTAAGTCAATTAACAGGCATGAGGTGCATAATTTTCCGTGCTATTTATACACAAATTACCGAGGGTGTGTTTCAAGAAAAAAATCCCACGTGAAAAATCATGTACATATGAGCTTGTCGTTTACGTGTACCTATTTTTATAGCTAGAAGGGTCAATAGAAAACCTAGGTTGATGTGTTCTTTGTTTCAAGTTCGTATTTGAAATGATGTACAAAAAGTACCTATACCTAGTCATAAGAGAGAATTAGTCAAGCTAATTGCGATCCTGGAATGTCATGCTCAAATCCCACTAGCTTTTTTTTCTTTTCTTTTTCACTCGCATTTAGTATTGATAGAAGGTCAAATAAAGTACTTGGCTTAAATAAAGCACAAACGAATTGTTGGCGGGGTGGTTATTTACCTTGTGATCCCACGAAGTGGCCACGGTTTGAATCCTATGGGGGCCATTTACTTTTGCAGACGAGGAGATGTGTTCTGTTCTCTGATGATATTTTTGCAGACGAGGAGATGTGTTTTGTTCCCTGATGATGGAATCCACTCGTGACGTGCGATCGATATCTGACCGCTCTGAGATCGTTCGCATTCCCTGACGATATTTTTGTAGACGAGGAGATGTGTTCTGTTCCCTGACGATGGAATCCACTCGTGACGTGCGATCGATATCTGACTGCTCTGAGATCGTTCGCGCTTGTTACTAAAATACAGTCGACTGGAAAATAGCTTTTTCGATATCTAAAATATTTCAAAGCAATTTAGACAGACTTTTTTTGCATATGAACCCATAGTTTTTGTTATATTTATGAAGTACGTACATATTTGTATCTAGAAAAGAGCATACTCAAAATACGATACATACTACCTAAAAGATAGTATATATATATTAACTAAACATTGTTATATACTACATACTACAAGTACATACTCTTCAATTTGATAAATACTGGACACATCATACAAAACTCAAGTGGTTATATATACTACCTTTTAGGTATAGTCAAATGTTTCCTACCACTAGTGGTAGTTACCACCATTTGCATTTTGTATGTTATATGTAGTATGTGTCAAAACCGAGAGTATGTCCGTATAGAATCGAATATTGTCTGATGATGGAATTCACTCGGGACGTGCGATCAATATCTGACCGCTCTGAGATCGTTTGCGCTTGTTACAAAAATACAGTCGACTGGAAAATAACGTTTCCAACATCTAAAATATTTCAAAGCAGCTTAGGCGTTTTTTTGCATATGGACCCATAGTTTTTTGTTATATTTGTGAAATACGTACATATTTATACGTAGAAAAGAGCATACTCAAAATACGATACATAGTACCTAAATAATAATATATATATTAACTAAACATTGTTATATACAACATACTATGCGTATATACTTTCTGATTTGATAAATACTGGACACAACATACAAAACTCAAGTGGTTATATATACTACCTTTTAGGTATAGACAAATATTTCCTATCACCAATGGTAGTTACCACCATTTGCATTTTGTATGTTATATATAGTATCTGTCAAAATCGAGAGTATGTATGTATAGTATCGAATAATGTCTTTGGTGGCCAAGCTCCACGGAGCTCGGTTTTGAAAATTTTGAATTTCGTCAAATTTCATATTTTCTGCGTTATAAAAAAGTTCTAAAAAAACACATATATACATGAAGGAATAACACACATGTGTTTAAATTTTCAAGGTAAAATACATTGAAATGAGGGCTGTGCAAAAAAGACAAATCTGAGGCTTTTTAACACAAGATACTATTCATCCTCCTAGGCCATGAATTTTGTATGTTTTGTACAGGTCGCATTTCAACGTTTTTCATCCTGAAATTTTACACACATACACATAACATCTTTGTTACTAGCACAAATTTTTTCAGATTTGTGTGACGCCCGGGTAGTTACGCTACAGTAACCCTCCTAATAATGCCACGTCACCACGATTACTGTTGATAGTCTTGTGATGATTCAAATCCCGTTCAAAATTCAAAATTGAAATAAAGTCAAACAATAAAAGTTTTTCAAAATTTAAAACAAAAATGTTCGGGAGATGCCATATTTTACATAAGTCAATATGGTGTAATGAACACAATTTTATAAAATGCCTAAGTATTTTAAAATAAGTAAAAACAGAAAAGAAATAAAAGAAAATGCAAGCAAGAAAACACACGCACACACACACACACAAAAGGTAACACCTTCCCGTGTGGGTCTTGGCCCAGTTGGCCGGGCAGCCGACTGGCTTGCCGGCCCACCCCCACACGCCCCTGGCCTACTTGGCCCGCGCTCCCCCCCCACCAGAAACCCTAGCTACCGCACCCCATTTCCCCCCACACCCACGTCTCCTCCCCCACTCCTCTCGATCCCATCTGGATCGGGGAGGGGTTCGATCCACCTCCCCTCCTCTGCCCCCGATTGGATCGGGGGGATCGATCCCCGCCGCTACACGCGCGACGCCGCCCCGCCTCTGACGCCGCTGGATCTCGCGGCCACCTCGCCGGAGCTCCCTCGCCGGCCTGCTTCGCCCTCCCTCGCCGGACTGCCTCCTCGACGCCGTCGTCTCCGCCCTCCTCCTCAACCCCCACTGCCTAGACCCTACGCGCCCCTCCCCGTGAGCACCTCTCCTCCTCCTCCCCTGCTCACAACGGTCCCACGCCCGACGCCGCCTTTGCCGGCGCACGCAACCATCTGCCAGCGCCGCGCCTGGCCTCGTCCTCGCACAGGCGCGCCCCTGCCGCGGCTCTGCATCGCCCCGTCGACGCCCGAGCACGCCGCCGTGGCCCCCTGCTCACCCGCGCTCCGGCAAGCCTCCCCCTCCTTCTCCGGCGACCGGTCGGCGCCCCGTGGCCCCAGGCCTCCCCGCGCCCCGGCCATCGCCGCCCTCTCCGCTGGCAAGCCCTCCCCCCTACCTCGCCGGCTCTAGCAAGCCGCGTTAGCGCTGCGTTCGCCGCGGCATGCTGGTCCGGCCGCTCGGCCTCGCCCACTCCTT